GTGTACGTGTATTTTGTATTTTTGTGTTTATTTCTTCTTTTCCTTTCCCTTCCCTTTCTTCCCTCCTCCTCCATCATCCTCTCCCATTCCTTCTTTGATAGCTTTAGCTCTCTTCTTTCCAAGAGGAGTCTTGTTAAACCAAGCCTACATTAACAAAAAAGGTATAAAATAATTATTAGTTCTATTTATACTATAATTACACATGTACATGTATGTACATATACATTTGTAGATTATTTTTAGTAACAAGGTTCTCAGTATTAATTTGCATCAACACTGAAGATTAGGGTTCTGCCTATAATACATGTACTACATGCAGATGCTATTTTTAGTAACAACTAACAAGGCCCCTAACTTATACACTGCTATACATACTATTTTTAGTAACAAGGTTCCTAAACAGTTCTAATAATAGGTTTACTTTGTATGCTTCCTCTTCTTCTCTATAAATTGGATCAATTTTAGCAAGAAAAGGAATGAATTCTGCTGTGGTTAATGGACACTTACGAAGCTAAAAAGTGCAAAAAAAAAGTTAATATTAAAATTAAAAATTATTATTATTATTATTATTATTATTATTATTATCAAACAAAGCAATGAAAGCAAAGCTAATTATTATTATTATTATTATTATTATTATTATTATTATTATTATTATTATTATTATTATCATTATTATTATTATTATTATTATTATTATTATTATTATTATTATCATCATCATCATTATTATTATTATTATTATTATTATTATTATTATTATTATTATTATTAGTTGTTGTATTCTTCTTTCAGTCAGTACTTGTGTTATTCCAGTGATCATGTGTCCTGGAGTGTATCCGTCTGATACTTTAGCTAATGAACTCATGTCAAATCCATCAGTAACATGACCGCCATGTTTCAGTATAAGACTCTTCCACTGCACTGATAGTACATAAAATAATAAAACAATTGTATTATTAATTTTTGCTATTCTACATGTGCATGTTTGAACTGATTCTGACTTCAATTTTTCAAGCTACAGCTATTTTAACCCTTGTAAAAATTCCCAGCAAGATCTTGTTAATTTTCTTACAAGATCATGACAAGAATCTTGACAATAATTCGCAAGATCTTTCCTGAATTTGGAACAAGGATCATGTAAGATAGTGGAAGATCTTGCTATCAAGATTCCTTCAAGTTCTTGCATGGTATTTTAGCATACAATGCTCTTTTAAAATTAATGCAACAGTAAGATCTAGGCAAGATCTTACATTGCATGAATGCATAATACATGTGTAAAATGTTGTGAAATGTGAATGTGAATGTCATTGATTTTTTTGATTGAAAGTGATTAAAACTTCAGTTTCTTTATAATGCTGCCATTACTGTTAAGGCTATCGTGGGTTGTCAGCTACTTCCTGTGACGTCACATGATTTGTAAGATCTTTCAAGATCTTGTAAGACTCAAAATACTGTGATGTGTGATCTTACAGTATCATAAGATCATGGCAGATTTTTCAAGATCATAAACTTATGAGATTTTGTAAGACCTTATGAGATTTTAAGTTAACAAGATCATGTTAGTTCTTACAAAGTTCACAATGTGGGATATTTCAAGATATTAGTTAGGCATGATCTTACATTTTCTAACATATTCCTTTACTCATAAGATCTTTGAAATTCTTACAAAAATTATAGTCATGTTAGATCTCAGGAGATCTGACAGCTTCTTAAAATCTTATGAAATCTTAAAGCAAGAATTTGTAAGATTTTCTGTGACAAGATTTTACAAGATTTCTATCTTACGTTTTCTTGTATTGTCATGTGAAATCATGAAACATCTTATAAGATCTTGCTGGGAAAATTGAAGTCAGAATCAGTTCAAACTTTCTACACAGCATAAGGACATTAATATTTATCAGAAAATGTAACATAAATTTGGAGTGATTTAGGAAGAAAAGCCTATGGATTTTCCAAAAAATGGCTCCAAATTTAGAAAAGCCTATGGATTTTCCAAAAAATGGCTCCAAAATCACTCCAAATTTATATTACATTTTCTGATAAATATTAATGTCCTTATGCTGTGTAGAAAGTTTGAACTGATTCTGACTTC